CATTTACCATCGTAATAAAAAAATTAAAGATACTTAGGAATAAACTTAACCAAAGAGGTAAAACACTTTGCACCTCTATGGAGGCCCTAGAGCCAGTACATTATTGGACAGCTTCAGACCTTAACAGATTATAACTCTACATATCCACAAGCAACACACTCAGGGGCAGACTCAACAGTGAGCAACAAAGCCCCACTGAAGGAAGTCCTGATCCACAGGGTTTTCTCCTGCCCAGCAGCTCTCCCACTATAGTCACAGCTGGTCCTCACAGCCAACTGGCCTGGAGGTCAACTCCTCCTAGTGAAGCCAACAGTAATCAAGGCTCAACTACAAGACTGTGCATACAGTTCACAAAAGGGTGCACCTAGAGTTCCCAGCTGACTAGGGAGGCTGAGCCACTGGGCCTGACAGGACACCTACTATACCAGGCCATTCTACCAATTCCAGGAGACATAATTGTTCTACCTAATACATAAAAACAGGAATGCAGCCAAAATAAGGAGACAAAAGAACATATCACAAATAAAATAAAAGAATCCTCCAGAAAAATAACTACGTGAAATGGAAGCAAGCAAACTACTAGATACAGAGCTAAAAACAGTTAGCACTAGATTATTTGGCTCAGTGTATAGAACATCAGCCTGCGGACCAAAGCATCCCAGGTTTGATTTATGAGGATGCTTTGATTTATGAGGCCCTGCAAGAGGCAACCAATCAAGCTGTTTCTCTCACACTGATGTTACTCTCTGTCTTTCCCTCTCTCTTCCACTTTCCCTAAAAATCAATGGAAAAATATCCTTGGGTGAAGATTAACAATAACAAAAGAACAATGGTTATAAGGATGTTCAAGGATCTTAATGAGAGCTTCAAAGGACTTAGTGAGAATTTCATGGATCTTAATGAGAACAACAACGACATGAAAAAAGACCAGTCAGGGTTAAAGACAAAGAGAGAATTTTAAAACTAGCAAGAGAAAAGCAGTTCCTTACCTACAAGAAACACCCCTATAGACTGTCAGCTGATTTCTCAACAGAAATTTTGCAGACCAGGAGGGATTGGCAAGAAATACTCAAAGTGATCACCTACAACCAAGATTACTCTGTCCAGCAAAGCTATCCTTTAGAATTGAAGGTCAGATAAAGAACTTCAGACAAGAAAAGCTAAAGGAGCTAATCACCATCAAACCAGTATTACATGGAATGTTGAAGGTATTTTTGAAGGAGGAGGAAGAGGAGGAGTAAGGGGGGAAGGAGAGAAAGAGAAGAGGGAGGGAAAGGGGTTGAATATCCTAAAGGCTAATACACCACTTTATTTGGCTGCTCATCCAATAACCTAAATAGGAATGAATATAAATGCTGACAGTCAACCAACTGCAATATCCAAAAATATATTTTGAAATTTCTCATCAAATGAGAACATGTAATATTTATGATATTATAATATGTGGACTCTGAGAAGGAACACGGTTCTGAAATGGGAGTCTGGTGCTCATGGTTTTGGATCAGACTTATCACAAGTATGTTCTGTGACTTACCTTCGGCAAGTCACCTCTACCTCTTTGAATCTCAGTTTCCCCATTTGTAGAATGGAAGGGAGAATGCTTAGACTAGCATATTTTGGGGTCTCTATTTCCTGAGAGAAGCTGATAAAAAGCTACAGAACCTATTACCAAAAATGTATGTTTGCACTCAAAAATTTTCTTATAATTTTTTTTCTGATATTCATCGTGTACTTCCTAAGACTTGAACAAAAAGATGTCTTGGGATTGATCTACACATTAAAACTTCTGATTTTTATGAAATATACCAAAAGAAAAAACTAAGCAAAAATACTGTGAAAGACATCACTACTTACTTTGAATCCCAAAACATATTAAGAACTATAATATATAACAAATTTCTGTAAACAAGGTTTCTTCAGATAGATACATATCTGACCCACAGGTGGATAAATGGGGAAAAATCTCCCATTCTCCTTTTTCATACTCTAATGCTTAGTAAGTAAAGGGCATTTAACAATCTAAGCTCCCCAAATGAATTAATTTGCCTGCTTTCTATCCCACTTCCCTATAGGTTAAGAACCACAGACTAATAACAGACATGAACTGGCGTCCCTGCTCTACCACTTCCCTTACAAATTTAAGTCCATTACTTAGCATTTACATATTTGAATCCCTTAGTCTATATGAAAATAGAAATAACTCATAAAATTACTTTGGTAAAACATGCAAAGTGCTTACACACAATAAACAATAAATATGAGCTATTATTATTAACTACAGGCCTGCTGAACAAAATTCACGCACGGGGAGGAGAGGGCTCAGCCCAGCCTGCACCCTCTCCAATCCAGGATCCCTCAGGGGATGTCCAAATACCTCTCACAATCCAGGACTGCTGGCTCCTAACCACTCATCTACCTGCCTGCCTGCCTGCCTGCCTGCCTGCTAGCCCCTAACCACATCTGCCTGCCTAACTGATGGCCTGATCGCCTCTAACTGCCTCTGCCTTGCCCCTCACCTGGGACCCAGGATTCCTTCCCTCTGGCCAGCCGTAGGCACCCAGGATCCAGACTGGCCACAGCCACAGGGAGCTGTGGGCAGGCGGCTTTGCCCAGGCCACAGCCACTGGTGTCTGGGACCACGAGGCGGGCAGCTTGTCCCTCTTCCAGACCACAGCCTGGCTGGTCCCCATTCTTCTCTAAAGCTCATTTGTACCTGACTGGTCCCCATTCCTCTCTCCCCAGTGTTGAGCGTCAGAAGTTACTGCGCGGTGGTGTGAGGCATGATGACCATTTGCATATTAGCTCTTTATTATATAGGATAAATTGAAATGCTGCTATCATAACTGAGAAATAATACAATAACTGCTACTCTTACATATTTTTGGTACACATTTTTAAATAGTAAGTAGAAATTTTTACAACAGAATTTCCTATTTTCAGTAACATTTTCCCCCCATACTCTTCCCTGGAAAGATTAAAAGTATGTAAACAGCTATTTATTAGACGTATGTATGAAGTGGTGAGGTAGAGTAGAAAGAAATCCAGCTTTAGAGCCAATTCAGTTGTAGACCAAATTCAATAGCTCAATAATTATGTAATCCAGGCCGTGTAAACTCTCTCAATCTTATAAAGCTATCGCAAGAAATACTAAGTATGTAAAGCATCAAGCATAGTGTCTGGTATGTAGTATGCACTCAAACATCATTTATGACTATTCTTCTAAGCTATCCCTCATAAATAATAAAAACAGCTTTGCCAGGGAAGAGGAAAAGCATAGGCAAGCACAAATCCTAAAATACAGGCCAATGATGGACACTTATTTTCTCTGATCCATGAAAGAAAGCAGTGGTTTTGAGCGCCTAGAAAACTAACCAGTATTTCAGGAAGTTCTTTACGTAAGGGATCTTAAGAACCTTTTAGTAAGGAGTCTAGAGCCCCACTGGAGTTGCTCAATGGTTAAGCATTGGCCTATGGTTTCATTCCCAGTCAGGGCACATGCCCAGGTTTTAGGCTCCATCCCTAGTAGGGAGCATGCAGGAGGCAGCCAATCACTGATTCTCTCTCAATGGTGTTTCTATCACACTCACTCTCTTCTCTGAAATAAATTTTTTCTATTTTTTAAAATATATTTTTATTGACTTCAGAGAGGAAGGGGAGAGAAAGGGAGGGAGAGGCATCAATGATGTTCAACTTTTTTATTTATTTTTCTTTTAAAAAGGAGACTAACTAGCTTTTTCTAGACTTACAAGCAAGAATCTGACAACTACTCAGTTTTGTGACAAAATTATTCATTTAATCTTGCTCAGTTTGAAGCAGTAAATCCTTCCTTTTTATTAAACTTCTTAATTTCATGAACTATCTGGTGTTGTATGGGAAAACAACTCTTGGTAAATGAAACTACAAACTGTGCTAGAATTAGTTCAGATATTTTCAAACACAGAACCAAAAGGAAAAGGAAGAAAAAATAGTCCAGCCCTGGCCGGGTATCTCGGTTGATTAAAGCATTGTCCAGATACCCAGATATGCCAAGGTGCATAAATGGGTGGAACAACAAATTATGTTTCTCTTCTCTCTCTCTAAAGTCAATAAAATAAAATAGAAGTCCAGAGGATAACAAACCTGACTGCATTTAATTCCTAGAAAAGCCGAATCAATTAAAGGAATCAAATGAGCCTCTAAATTCCAAAAATAAAAATCTACAGACACGGAAGTCATTTAAAAAACAAACTGAGCCATTGAGCCATGGCCAGGTAACTCAGTGCGTGGTATACAGCACGGTTTCCCAATGGATCCCGGTAACATAACATACAAGAATCAACCAATTAATAAGTGGAACAAATCTATGTTTTCTTTCTCTCCCTCCCTCTAAAATCAATGAAAAGTTTTTAAAAGTAAAACATAAATAAAAATAAAAACTGAATCAGCAAATTTAGTTTACCGAGTAAAGGAATACAGCTAATCCTGACTTCTCCCTATGGGAAATCCTTTTTTATCCTTATTCTTCCCAAATTCCCCGAAACTAATTTGTTTGACGTAGAGTCAGAATGAAGTGGACACGCGACCACGGAGCGGACCGGAAAAAAGTCTGGCCCCAATGACCTTGGTCCCGAAGAGTCCCCTCCCTCCCGCGGCCGCCTCCCCACGTGCCGGCGCCGAGGTGGCCCGGGGCGGCGCGGGCGGAGCTGCAGCGGGGAGCACGCGGCGGCGGGCGCAGGGTGCCCCGCGCACGGGCCGGGCCGCTCTTCCTCCCTCCGGCCCCGCGCCCGGCGGCGCGCACGGCCCCGCGCCCGGCTCCCCACCTATGCTGCGCGCAGTGTGGGGACCCCGGCCCGGGAAGCCCAGTCCAGCAGCTGCACATCACCGGGATGGACAGACCCGTCCGGCAGCCTCCGGTGCCTCGCCGCCTCCCCGGGGCTCCCAGGCGGCCCGGCGAGCGCGTCGGGGCCGAGGGGTGGGGGCGGCGCGGCGGCGCGGAGGCCGGGGCGGGGCGGCGCGCTCACCATGAGAACTTTGGCCGCGTTCTCCAGCTGGGCGATCACTTCTGGGGGCCCCAGTGCCGCCGCCATCATGGTCTCTCTTCAATGACGCGCCATCCGGTGCATTCTGGGAGCGGCGACGCGGCCGGCCAATGGGCGAGCGGCCCGCCCCCGGGCTCCGCGGCTCCCGGCGATGATGCAGCGGGAGGCGGAGCGAGGGCGGTGGGCGCCGGCGCCCGCTGAGGACGGACCGGGAGGAGAGGGGCCAGGGGAGGGGCGGGTCCGGGTCCGGCCAGGGACTGGGGAACTGTGACAAGTCCTAGGCGCCCGCTGCGGGATGGCGGCGAAGGCGCTCCGGCGCGTTGTTGGTCTCGCGCTCCCTGGTCCGTCCGCACCGGCCCGCGGCGCCCCCTCACTGACCCGAGTCCCTGGCATCGCGCGGGCCTCCGCCGTCTCCTCGTCCCTCCGTCCGCGCCGCGCGGACCCTGTGAGCGGGACCTCGAGATGCGCCCGGGCCCTGGGACGCTCCCTGGCGGCCCGGCCTTCCCCCCGGACCGCGGGGGCGCGGAGGCAGCCCCGCGGGAGGCGGCGTCCGGGGCAATCCACCGCAGACGGCGTTCACACGGAGGCTGCCGACCCCGCCGTTCCTTCCCAGCCCAGGCTCAGTCCACAGGAGGGGGAAATGGGACCCAGGCTGCTGGTGCTCCTCTAGCCAAGTGAGAACTCGCAGCATCCGGGCCGCCAGCTATGTCGCGTTCACCGGTTTCATCGTGTTAATTCTGGGTCCCTGGGGGAGGGCCATTGAGTCACCAGTAACACCCCTCACCCCCGGCACTCTGCTTTACAATGCTCAGGCACGTGGTCCTGAGAAAGCGGACCCAGAATTCACACAAATTGATTTGAGGGTGTATTTCGTTTATGGCCCATATTCCTGTTACTATAACTTTGGTTACTGTTTTGTTGCTGCTCTGCTCTCTGGGTCTACACAGTGAGGAAAGAATGAAGATAGGAAATATAGAAACTGGGGTCACTTTAACCAAGCTGCTAAAAATTAACTTTAGGAAGGTTGAAGCATGAGGAAATACTCCATTCTTGTTCTAGCTAGCCTGGGAACTCAAAACTTTTTGAAGTTTTCAGTCTTGGGTCAATGCCTTAATATACATCTGGACATACACCAAACCTCCAGATAGCCTTCTGATTACCTCCCTGAAGGACTCTCATATCCAGACTATGGGACCTGACCAGACCTGGTGTCTATTATCCAGGACACCTGACTAACTGGTTGATAACTGTCCTGGATCAATCCTAGGGTAAGAATGCAGGACTGTAATTCTCAAAAGTGCACTTTTTTCTATAAGAAAACTTTTCTTTCTTTTTTGGAATACTTCTGGGGTTTTGCCAACCTGTGTTCCACGTTTGCAAACTCTTTAAGATCCTTGAAAAAAAACACCTTATTTCTAGCCAAAGCCTCCAGATTCTTTTTGAGTTCTCTTGACAACAGGAAGTTAAATTCATTTCAGGGTATTTAAGTTTACTCTGTTGAAATCTTCCTCTAGTTCTTCCTAGTTATAAGTAAGTCACACTTTTGAGGTTTTGTGGGGGGTATATAAATATAAATATATAAATATATATATGTATGTATGTATATGTTTGTTTTGAGAGAGAAAGGGAGAATCATTGAAGGACCCTCCTCCAGGCCCCCCACTGTACACTGAGGCCAAAACCAGGCATGTGCCTTGACCAGGAATAGTTCCATAACCTCCTGGTTCATAGCTCGACAGTCAACCACTGAACCGCACTGGCTGGGCAAGGTTTATATGTGTTTATGTCACTGCAGAAGAATTGCATTATTAGCTCCATTGAAAAACAGAGTTTTTCATTTGGCATTTGCACAACTTAAAGTTGAGGAAGTTACTTAATTTTTATAGTATAAGCCCTGGCCAGTTTAGCTAAGTGGATAGAGCATCACTTTGCAGACTGAAGGGTCCTAGGTTTGATTTCAGTCAAAGGCACATACCTCAGTTGCAGGCTCCTGGCCCTGGTCAGGGTGCATGTGGGAGGCAACCAATCAACATTTCTCTATCTCCCTCTCCCTTCCACTCTCTCTAAAAATAAATGGGAAAATGTCCTTAAGCGAGGATTTAAAAATAAATAAATTCTTATTGCTTGAGAAACAAAATAACTTTAATTTAACTACAAAAGGGCAAAGTGAACCAAAATGCAGCTTATGGCCTTTTATATTTTAAGAATTGTGTGAAACGAAGATAATGGCACAGTAGCATGGCCAGTGTGGTTCTGGATTGATTGTCACCCTATGCATCAAGAGGTCCCTGGTTCAGTTTCTGGTCAGGGCACATTGCCGGGGTTTTAGGCTCAACCCTGGCAGGGAGTGTGCAGGAGGCAGCCAATCATGTTTCTATCTCTCGCTCTCTTTGCTCTCTCTAAAATCAATAAAAACATTTTTTAAAAGATAATTACTATATTTGACTAAATGTCTCTAGCTGTGACAAAGAGTAATTATGGCAGAAGTGTAGACAAATGAATAGTTTGTGACATTGAAGGTTTGAGGCTTATAATGCTTCAGATTGGGCCTGAATATGCTTTGAATCACATAGAAATTTAGGTCTAAAAGTAACCTTGGAAATTCTAGAGCCCAACCTCCATTTTCTTCTTCTTATAATTGTTATATAAAAGATCACACTTTTATAGGAGAAAATTAAAAAATAAACCGAGCCGGTTGCCAAAATCATCAACACCAAGAAGCTATCTGCCAGGCATCTTCAGAAACTAGAAAGGGAAGCCAGAATCTGCCCTCTTCTCAAGTACCCCAACATTGTGTGGCCGCATGTCAGCATATTGGAGGAGGGCTTCCACGACCTGGTGTTCAACCTAGTGCTTGGCAGTAAACTGTTTGAAGACATCATGTTGAGAGAGTATTACAGCGAGGCCAACACCAGCCACTGCATCCAGCAGATCCTGGAGAGCATGAGCTACTGCCACCTCAACAGCATCGTGCCCAGGGACCTGAAGGTCAGTGTGCCGCGTCCCTGCATCTGGTTGAAGGAATGTGTGTTGTTTCCAGAAAAGAGCTGAGGGCAGGCACTTAACTTGGTTCCCTGATTGCTCCCAGCTTTCTGCCCAAACCGACTGCTGTGAAATGATGCTCCATGCCTCCCAGCTGCTTGTCTGCAGGCTAAATGTGCATCACAGTGACAGGGCAGGATGGTGCAGGACATGCCTGGGGTGGGGCTGCACCAGGGGGCAGGACTGCACCGGCGGGGGAGTGGGGAGCACGCTTTCCCTAACCCAGTGATTGCCTGGAGGCCTAGGCCTGTGATATGTGCCATTCTCAGACTGAACACCACCTCTGTCCTGAGCCCTGGAGGCCGTGGTGGGAAAGATGGTGGCACATGGCTCCCCAGGCCCTCAGCCCTCAATGGGAGGAGATCCCATGGGCAAGCAGAGCCAGGCTTTTTCAGAATGCATTGGTGTCCGAGTTTCACCCCATGTGTCCTGTGCTTTGACAGCCTCCAAGCAGTAGCAGGAAATAGAAAGAATAAGGAACCACTTGGGGGGCGGGGGGGGGGGAAGTGGGCTGAGCACAAGTTGTAAGATTTTATTTGTGTCCTATTTCCTGGATTAAAGGAAGCATCTTTTTTTAAAAATATATATATTTTTTTATTGATTTTTTTCCAGAGAGGAAGAGAGAGGGATAGAGAGTTAGAAACATCGATGAGAGAGGGTCATCGATCAGCTGCCTCTTTCTTGCACACCCCCTATTGGGGATGTGTCCGCAACCAAGGTACATGTCCTTGACCGGAATTGAACCTGGGACCTTTTGGTCTTTAGGCTGACGTTCTATCCACTGAGCCAAACCGGTTTTGGCTAAAGGAAGCATCTTTAAGATGAATTTTTCTAGAACATGCAGGCCCAACATTGGGCACACGTCTGGCAGTATCCTGCTTGTCCCGAAGCAGTGGTCACTGTGCTGGAGCAATGTGTCTGTGCTTCCATGAAGGTGTGACACAGCTGGCTGTCTGCCTGGCAGGGCTCGGCTCCTGGGTGTGCTGGGACTGACGCTGCCCCTAGTGTTGGCACACAGTCACTGCACTCAGCAGCCAGGCTGCCCCCTGCCTCAGATGGGCATGGGCCACCAGGCATGAAGGTGAGTGGTGCCCGGACTGTTGACCGCAGTCCTGACTGGGGCAGATTCACTGGAGAGCTGTGGGCTCATTCCCTCTCGGGACAAAACACATTCCTTACAAGCTGAGGCTTCGGTTGTGTATCTCTCAGATAAATGACTTCCTGAATCAGAGCAGGAGAGCCACCAGTGGGACGACTAGCAGTGCAATGTGCTCCCTCGTTCTGGACTCCGTCTGCGACACAGGCCAGACACTGCAACCAGGCCATGGAGCCCCGATAGTGAGTAGACGGTTACCCAGGTTACAAAGCTGGAAGCAGAGTCACAAGTAGTTGTGGCCCATGTGAACATACCGTGTTCATGGATTAGTAGAATCTACATCATTAAAATGTCCACACTACCTAAAGCAATCTACAGATTCAATATGATACCTATTAAAATACCAAAGGCATATTTCAAAGATCTAGAACAAATTCTCCAAAAATTCATCTGGAAGTAAAAAAGATTCCGAACAGCCACAGCTATCTTGAGAAAGAACAAAGTTGGAGGGATCCCAAAGCCAGACATCAAGCGATATGACAAAGCTATGGTTCTCAGAACTGCCTAGTACTGGCACCAGAACAAACATATAGACCAATGGAACAGAATAGAGAATCCAGAAATTGACCCAAGGCATTATACTCAATATCTGACAAAGGAAGCAAGAGCATACAATGGAGTTCAAACAGTCTCTTTAATAAATGATGCTAGGAAATTTGGTCAGATACATGCAAAAAAATGAAACTAGATCATCAACTTACACCATACACAGAAATAAATTAAAAATGACTAAAGGAATTGAATGTAAGGTAGGAAACCATAAAAATCCTACATAGGCAGCAAAGTTGCAGACATATGATGTAGCAATATCTTTACAGACTCAGATCCTAGGGCAAGACAGACTAAGGAGAAA